CTTGAAAAGTCTTCTCGAAGCATGTACAAAGGAAGCCCCTTTCATCAGTCCACAAGGAGACATGTATTTACAAATAGACGGAGTAGCAATGGGCTCCCACTTAGGAGTTTAATTTGCTAATTTTTATATGGGAACCATCGAAGATAGGGTCTTCAGTAGCAGACAAAAACCAACTGTATACTGCCGTTATGTAGATGACATATTCGTAATAGTAAAAGACTCAGATGAACTAATTGACCTAAAAAGACACCTAGAGAGAGAGTCAGTACTCCGATTTACACATGAAAATAGTGAAAATAACAGTCTGCCATTCTTGGATGTACTAATAACAAAAACAGGAACCTCTTTAAGCACCAACGTATATACCAAGCCCACCAACATAGGATTATGCCTGAACGGTAGAAGTGAGTGCCTCCAAAGATACAAAGCCAGTGTTCTCAATGCTTATATTCGTCGAGCGCTTACCCACTGCTCTGAATGGAGCAACGTGAGTAGAGAGTTTGAAAGAGTAACTCAGGTATTGGTGAACAACGGGTATAGCAACGCGGAAATAAACGCTGCTATAAGAAGACACTTGGACCGTTGGTATAATTCAGAACCTAGAACAGAAACCACAACACCCCCAATAAAATTATATTACAAATCAACCATGCACAGTGAACATATAAAAGAGGAAAGAATAATGAAAGAAATAATCCGTAAAGGAGTAAAAAGCACTACTCCTAACCAAAACATAAACCTGATAATATTCTACAAAACCAAGAAGACTTCCGAACTCCTTATCAAAAACAGCCCGAAGCCGACGGAGAACCCTCTACAGCAGTCTAGCGTTGTATACATGTACACTTGCCCCCACGAAGGATGTAACCTTCAATGTAAGTACATAGGTATGACGTCGACCAAGCTGACGAGGCGTTTGACATGCCATCTTCAATCTGGTGCCCCTAGGAATCACATGAGACAAGCCCATGACATTACTCTAACAAGAGAAATGTTGAACAAGAATACTTGCATAATAGACAAAACCCAAGATTCAAGAAGATTACAAATTCTTGAGGCAATTCACATAAGAATAGAGCGACCTACCATGAACACCCAAATCACGGAACTATTTACTCTACCCACCATGAGAGTAAGGACAAGACAAGAACATATCGATGCCAACACAGAAGACAATGTCCAACATAACAGGCCAATTACACTGGATTAATCTTTGTGTTTAGATAGGAGATGCCTCGTATGGGCCAATAAGCCTTCTGCAGCCTCTATGTTTCACCTCACATTTATCCCTTATGTATCCCCCCATGTTTTCACCTTCATTGTATTATCACCTGACCTAATGCGGGTATAAAATCAACTAGTATTGTAAGATCTGTTCACTTGAGAATGAACCATGGAGGTTCGAAACGTCGTGCAAATTATACAAATAAGTGTAATACACTCTATAGTAAATCACTTCTTTTCTTCACCTTAAAAGTACGAAAATGAGTTTTGGAGAACTCCTATTTCAATTAAGCCCTAATTAACCACCCCACCGCCGGCACTCGGATAGTTATCTTGGGCATAGCATTTAACCAAATAAATAGATAACTATCCGAGTGCCGGCGGTGGGGTGGTTCAAATAGCTTAGGCTATCACCTCATTATGTCCGGTCGTGATGGTCAAGTGGATTAAGGCGTCTTGTACATACCAGTTGCGTTGCTTCTGGGAGTATGGGTTCGAGTCACTTCTGGGGTGTGAGTTTTCAGTTGCATATTGTCCTGGGGACCATTCAGGCTTGTTCGCATTTGTGTTCCTCACGTGTGCCCCAGGGAATGAGGTGATTTGGTAAAATGCTATGCCCAAGATAACTATCCGAGTGCCGGCGGTGGGGTGGTTCAAATAGCTTAGGCTATCACCTCATTATGTCCGGTCGTGATGGTCAAGTGGATTAAGGCGTCTTGTACATACCAGTTGCGTTGCTTCTGGGAGTATGGGTTCGAGTCACTTCTGGAGTGTGAGTTTTCAGTTGCATATTGTCCTGGGGACCATTCAGGCTTGTTCGCATATATATATATATATATATATATATATATATATATATATATATATATATATATATATATATATATATATATATATATATATATATATATATATATATATATATATATATATATATATATATGTCGTACCTAGTAGCCAGAACGCACTTTTCAGCCTACTTTGCAAGGCCCGATTTGCCTAATAAGCCAAGTTTTCATGAATTAATGTTTTTTCGACTACCTAACCTACCTAACCTAACCTAACCTAACTTTTTCGGCTACCTAACCGAACCTACCCTATAAAGATAGGTTAGGTTAGGTTAGGTAGGGTTGGTTAGGTTTGGTCATATATCTACGTTAATTTTAACTCCAATAAAAAAAAACTGATCTCATACATAATGAAATGGGTAGCTTTATCATTTCATGAGAAAAAAATTAGAGAAAATATATTAATTCATGAAAACTTGGCTTATTAGGCAAATCGGGCCTTGCATAGTAGGCTGAGAAGTGCGTTCTGGCTACTAGGTACGACATATATATATATATATATATATATATATATATATATATATATATATATATATATATATATATATATATATATATATATATATATATATATATATATATATATATATATATATATATATATATATATATATATATATATATATATATATATATATATATATATATATATATATATATATATATATATATATATATGTGGGGGTTTTCGTTTTTGCTTTCACGACTGCAATGCGTACGTCTCCAATGTACATGTGGCAGACGCTTCACGAAGCTGTCGGAATTAGCAGAATAAAAAATACGACAGCAACCATACAGGGCCTGGGAGCAACGGTCGAGTTAGAGTCCTTGAGGGTCTCTTCTCAGACTAGCCTCACCTGGTCCTGCTCTACGTTGATCGTTGGAATCTCCTCAATGATTTAACACTTTAAGGGACTCCTAGGGTCCTCATCACATTTATAGTTTGTGACTTATAGGCAACTCGGTGTTGAAGACACTTAGAGATGAAGGCTTGTGTACTATTGGCAGTATTCAGAAGTGGTTCAACGGAAACACCGCATAAAGCTTAACAGTAGTTTATTTACTAACTTAACCACTAATACACAGGGTGCTTGATTTACTTTAGATTGGCGTCAGCAAAGCTATGGTTATATTAGCGAGACTCTTGACGTCTGGCTAAACGACTCGTATCCACTCGTGGAGGAACACCTAACTTAACACAGTTGACAGCCACTCATTAACACGGCAACCTAACTGCCGGTATGCAAAGGGATCACAAGAGTTCCAACCGGATACTCGGTAATGATGATATGCAATTAACACAAATACACTGTCAATGGGACAGGCAATAACATGCACAATAATAATCACACACAATACTAAATGTGTGGTGTATGTGAAACTCACATTCACAAACGAGTGAAATGCCGTGATACCACACAGATAACACGCATACACCGTCGATTCACCTGTGAAATGGTGTATGCGTGTTATCTGTGTCACAGGTATGATATTCACCTTTTCATACCTGTGACAGGTATGATATTCACCTTTTCATACCTGTGACAGGTATGAGAAGGTGAGAACTGTGGTTGATACCTCAGATCAACGCAATAAAACAATGACAAAATCTTGTACTTACAGATAACGTACCTTTCCTTACTCACTCACTCAGGCACATTTATGCAAGAACTCATAGGTGGCTTGACAGCTGGGCGCTCGTTCTGACATGAGACCATTGACGACAGGCTTCCCACAATCCGTACTTGACACGGGTGTACTGCAGGAGGGAGTGCTGTATGCTTAACAGACAGACACACGCACACACACTTGGCACTGGCTGTGAGTATGGGTGGTGACGTCATATGGTACAGTGTGGGCGGCAGCGGGCGCCTCGAGGTACTGAGGTACACGCTCGGGACAGAGTGGCGGCGGCTGTGGTTATATGGTCCCATGCACTACACTGTACACTGTGGTACAGGTACACTGTGGTAAAGTCACACACAGATTACTTAGGTGTCGGCACTGCCTTAGTTCACTCTAAGTCACTCACAACGATCTTTGTCACCAGGGGTTACCTGATACCAGTCTGTTTCGCTCTGGTGATTTGTCACTTTAGGCTTCTGAACAATATATTCACACTCGTGATTCTTGGCGAGTGTGTGGTATATTTTTCAGACTCTGAGTTAACTTGATGGTGAGGAATGGACGGTTGTTCAGTCTATTGGCCGATAGACAGAACATCTACACGTCCTCTTTGCAAGAGATCCTTCACAAGAATGCTTTTTCCTGAAGCTCAGGGCATCTTGTGGAACACAACACAAAAAGAGTTACAGTTTGACCAATAGCATTGCTGCAAATGGGCGGGAACCAATCATATTGACCGTTCGATGATAGTAGCAAGAGTGACGTCATAAATAGTCACGACCACGTCATAGCTCTTATTTTCTATCGTGCCGGTTGACCCCAGAGGTCAGACGCTGCTAGCGTCTCCCCTCTGTCCCATGCTCCCACCGACCAATGTACCCACTGACCCTTGGTGGCAAGCATGCTTAACTCCCTGTATCTGCTTCCTGCCTGGACATACGGCGGCCTCCGTATTATAAATGTGTTCCTGGTTAAGTGGGCATTCTGGAGATACGCAACATGCCAATTTACTATCCAGGATTAAGAGACATAGGCTTGTGCACAAGATCAGTGAATATGCACTGCAATGAGCCATTCCAGTCAGCTGTGGGAGAATCTTAGGAGACATACTCCCACAATATATATATATATATATATATATATATATATATATATATATATATATATATATATATATATATATATATATATATATATATACAAACAAGCCTGAATGGTCCCCAGGACCATTCACACCTGTGTTTTGCGGGGTCTGTCCGGTTTGCTAACTTCGTAGTTCACTGGGCCCAACCATCATAGTACCTTGTACGGTCCCTCGAATCGTGACTCAGTCACACGGCTCTTCCCTGGCAGCAGGACCATAACCTGGGACCCGCCCTGGAACTCTCTTGGTGTAGCTTTCTTGTCATACCACTCCGACATCTTGCGCTGCGCCTCCTTCAAATGTTTTCCAACTAGTTCCTTTGCCAAAGTGAGGCGCTCCTTAAACATCTGAACATACTCGTTGACCGTTCCCACGGTCACTCCTTCGGCATGGACAGAGGACTCCGTACCTCATGTCCAAATACCAGCTGGAACGGTGAGAAACCTAACGATTCTACCACAGCGTTTTGTATGACAAACAACGCAGGGTATTATTATAGTGCGTGGGTTGGTTGTGTTGTCATATTGTTCCCCCTTTACGGACAACCCAACCCACAACTCAGTAGAGTGCTTATACCTCACTAGGAGATCACACTAGGCGCTTCTGGCTCTTGGAGAGGGGCTCAACGTCACACGTTTAGGGGATGCGGCTCCAACACTTAGCCTCGTTGTTGCGTGCACACACCCACTCGAGCCGCTGTGACTCGCCACTCTATCCTTACGTGATATGATCTCCTCAATCCCCTTTGATTTACTAATTTTCCATCCTACCCTGTCCACAGCAGTGGTTCTTGGTTCTTTCTCTCTCTCTCTCTTCCTTTACTATTTCCTGGGAAGCCTCACTAGGACAAGGGCAAACACCAACAAATTGGAATGCATTTACTGGACAAAGCACATACATAATACATACACACATATAATAATAATGAATCCTATACTCTACACTATTACAATCAGGTTGCACTCTAACACCATCAGAACTCTATCATCAGCTTATCAAGTGGTATCCTATCTCCTGGTTCACCACCTGATACTATCAACCTCCTCAAGTTGATCAAGTCTACATACACTGTTGCACCATCAGCAAGAGAATATATATATATGTATCTATAAATGTGTACAAAGAAAATCAGCATGTGAATACAATAACATATACCAGTATAAATGTTCCTTGATACACAACAATGATCAATCGATCACTCTACAAGTCCTAGAACACATACATCTGTAGGTAATCCAGCCTACGACTGTAATTCTAAACTTCAGTATAAAACACTCCTTGACATAAGAATGCAAACAATCACTCACCTCTCACTGCGTCTTGCACGTTAATGACAACCAAACACTATCAACTCCCTACAAGTAATCCACCAGAACTTCCCTTCCACCTCTGGAAGTTCACTACCCTGATATCTTTAGGTTCTTCCGGGCTTAACTACCAGGATCCTCTGCAGCTCCTCCAGGCTGCTACCATGAAGTTTCCTTGAGCAACTACAGTGCTTCACCATTCTGCTAGGGTCTTCCACAGCTCTCTTGGCTGCTACACCTTGAAGTTCCCTCAAGCAACTATGGTGCTTCACCATCTCTACAGAAGTACGTGACACTCCTCTTCACTGCTTCTCCTCACAGCTCGAGGTCCTCTGCTCCACTACCTTGGAGTCTCATCAACTACTCCCTATGTGCTGGCTTCGAAGTTCTCAGCAACTTCTTCCCCAAAGACAAACCTGCAACCCATCGACACTCCAATAAAATTGTTTCCCCTTTAACACATAAACAAAAATAATCACACAAAATGTTTGCCTCAAACCTCTATCTGTCCTCTACGTACTGTGAGAGTGGACTCCCCCATTGGGCGGGTCCATGCTCCACCTCGCCCGGCGGGCCTCCACACTCTGCTCCGCCGCCAGTCAGTCAGTTGGCTTCAAGCAGTCGAAGGGAGAGGACGCGCTGCTCGTCCCTCCAGCTGTCTCTCTCATCTCCGTCCTCTTATTTAGGCTTCCTGCCTCACCAAAACATTTCTAACTCATCAATAAACGTTGCTACTGTCGCTGGGCACACGACCAACTACAAGCAATCACTATGAACTGCCTTAAATCGTGCTTACCACAGATTGTCTTGTCGAGGGCGCTCCTCCCTCTGACAGAGCCTGGTCAGGGCGCTTCCACAGCCCACGATAATGTCTCTGGTCGGCTTAATACTCTCTTAGCCGTCCAGGACTTGAGACCACACGTCCCCAGCTCGATTCTACAGCTGGCACGTCTGCGCACTTCTCTTCTCTTGGAGATATATCACTAGGGGTTCCTTTCTGACGGGAGCTCAAACGGAACGCGATGTCTGGCCTCAAGTGAGGTCAAAGCCCTCCAGAAGCGAGCCTCACACCTCCAGCAAAATATCCACATCTCCTAACTAGTCATTTATTTATTTCCTTATTTACTGCCTATAATCTTAAACTGTTCATTGAATCCAACAAACTATTTTACATCTGTGTTATTGCCTCTATATTTCCTATACTTTCTAGTTAGGTCAGGCTTGTTGAATAACTCTCAAGGGGGAGACTCGTTTCTCCTGTAGGCTGAGATCATAACAGTATACTGCCTCATCCCACTTAGCTCCTTGTTCTGCGCAGAACACTCAGAATCGTTTTCAGAGTGGAGTGAAACCTTTCGATCGCCCCTTGTGACTGCGGTCGGTAGGGCGACGACCGAATCTGAGTCACTTCCCAATTTGTCACGGTCTGTCTGAACCATTTGGACTGGAATACACTTCCACAGTCTGTCTGGATTTCCCTGGGCATTCCCACCCAAGAGAAAAAACGTTGTAACTGCCCGGCTACACCTTTTGACATCAAACGTCGCATCGGGACAGCTACCGAAAATCATGACGACACGCACATGATGGTCATCAGGTAGGTATTTCCTTTTTTCGTCCGTGGCAACGTTCCTACCGCGTCGACCAACAGACGCTCAAATGCAGGCCCAAATGCAGGAACAGGGACTAACGGGGCCCTTGGTATCGCGGGTTGGCTCTTCCCTGTCCATTGGCAAGGTAAGCACGTCTTACAGTGACGCCTCACGTCGGCGTCCATACCCGGCCAGTAGAAATGGTCCCTGATCTTGGGCAAAGTCTTGGTCACCCCCAAGTGACCTGCAGAATCCATGGAGTGCGATATATCCAGCACTGCCGCTCTGCACTGGGCCGGTAACACTACCTGGTGCCTCGTACCTAGTGATTCTTCTCCGGCCTCCAATCTCACAGGTCTCCATTGTCTCATCAGCATTCCATCCTGCATACAAAAATAAGTGGCCCTCTCGGGACCAACACGTCCTCCTTTGGCCTCCCGAATCAAATCTGGTTACTCCACATGCTGCAACTCGCACCAGACGAGTGCGGTCCACTCCAAGAGAACTGGCGAGTCACTTGTAGCTCACCATCCGGGCTGCCATTGCCCTCCACTTGTCCTCCGGGTTCCACGAAGAGGTGATCGACTCCTAGGCTGTCAGACGACTCTTCTTCAGCCCCATCAGATCCACTCACTTCGTGTTCGTTGCACCGTCTTGGGATCACAGCACACACAGGAAACGCCACCTCGGCGATTTCCTTCTCGTTCCCACAGGCGTCCAATACTCCGCCTTTCTCTACATAGAGCTCCAAGCACTCCTCGCCTTTCACGAGGTTAGGGAGGACACATCCTCCACAGGCGTCATTCCCAAGGATGACTTGCTCCTCCATCTTGGGCACCGAGGCACAGACCCCTACCACTAGGGTCTAGCAGCCATAATCAGAATCTAGAGTCACCTCGTGCAAGGGCATCCTCACTGGGCCTCCCACAGTGGTCACAACTGCCACCCCCACACTGGTACTCTCGTAACCCTCGGGGAACAGGGTTCTACTCACCAGGGTAAAATCTGCCCCGGTGTCTCTCAATATCTTCACAGGAATGGGGTCTGCGTCCCCCATCCTTACGGTCCCCCTCACACACGAACGGGTGAACTCTTTTCTCCCCACTTGTACGGGCTCATCCCGCACCCTCTCGGCCTCTTGGTCCTCCACCCGAACGAAGCAACGTTCCCCCGCTTCTTAGGGCGTCTGCATTCCCGCGAGATGTGTCCAAGTCCTCCGCAGTTGTAACAGCGGACCCTACTTGCTGGCGACCTTCCGCCACCACTCGCCCTGGCGACGCCTCCAGAGGCAGTCGCTCCGAGGGTCTTCCTCGCGCCTTCCGTCGTCTCCTTCGCAGCGTCTCTCGTCACAGCAACAACTCCTGAACTCTCAGCTAGGGGCTTCCTGGCCGGTTCCACAGAACTCTTTGATCCTCTACCGTCTCCACTCGAGAGGTGGGACTTGGGAGAACTCGCTTCTGTCCTCCATCCATCCGTCCTTCTATAACTTCTCCCATACCCGGAGTATACTGGCGGTCGGTGCTGTCCCTCTCTGCGTGGTCGCAAGGCTTCCTCCAACATGTCAGCTCTGTCGGCAGCGGCCCTCAGGTCTTTTATGTCCGCCTCCTTCGGATGGACCATGACGCTAAGCCGGATGAGGGAGCATTTTTATTGGCTGGGAATGGACGCTGATGTGAGGAGACATTGGAAGACCTGTTTCCCGTGCCAAAGGGCGGGGAAGAACGTCCTTGCTATACCGAAGGATGTTATAATAAAGTGTTAATGGACTTATCCACATACTTTGAGTGGACGATAATTAGTGAGTGAATTATTTAGACAAGACCCCAAAGCTGTTGAACTCTAGTCTCATTTTGGCCATATAAATATATTCCAAGATGCGAGGGTCTAAGTGGTTACAATAGAAAACCACTCGTTGTGAATGTGAGTGTGGCTCCTAGCTGAAATATTAAATACAACCTTTTGTGGTGTTACAACGTGTAGTTGAAGGACACATGTCGCTGAAGAACACATGTCCCTAAAGGAACCTTTTCACTAAAGCTCTCTTCAACATCTTTAATTCCATGCTATAAAATCACCAGTAAGGATGCCATCGCCTTCTTGTTCTATCGCAGAAACTCAGTAGCTTGGGCAGTGAATGTACATTAGTGCACGTCTACAGGTATTACCCTGGAAGCTCCGACCAGCATGGATGTGGCCGCCCTGTCTTCTCTCCCATACGAAGGTGATCGGCTTCATCTGACCATCCACCGTGACCTCACAGATGACGACCCCGACCTTGTATGGTGTTGTGATCTGATAAGTCAATTATGTCCTCACTCCAGAGGTGGGCACTATGATGACCTGACGTTCCTGGGTACCCTTCTCACCAGTACGTATATATTTTGATGCATTTCCAGAACAACCAGAGTTCCTTGAAGCTCTTCTTTGGCTTCTAGTATCATTATTATT